CTCCAGGATCATGACCTGAGCCGAAGGCAGTCGCTTAACCAACTGAGCCACCCAGGCGCCCCTAGCTCATAGTTTCTTAAGGAGATTCCAGGGAAATTCACAGAGGCCCCAAATTTGTGATGGTATTGGCACCAAGATCAATTAATTTGAAATCTCTTTAACAAAGTAATAATTCTCACAGCACCTGAAAGAGTTATCTCCTGTAAACAGAAATTCTATTCTATTCCTCATTTACTTCTCTGAGGCCATGTCACCTCCTGGATTACTGGTTTCATTGGTCATAAGCTGTCATTTCCGTTAGGTGTATTTTACGGTGCAGTATAATGGAAAATTTTTCATTAAACAAGTTGTGTATCTCCTGCTCTAAAGTGTAAGCAGAGTACAAATTTGAATGTAGAAGACAGTGGCTGGAATAATCAATGCAAGAACATCCTTAAAGCTTTCCTTGTGTAACAAGGGCAAACTCAGCTAAAAAGTTTGTTTAAATCCTGCTTGACATAACAAGAACCTTTACACTTTATCTATCTGGGACTATCTGTGAATATACCTGACTCATCACCAGAGTGCCCTTCAACTCAGCCCTATTCAGCTCAATTGCTCTTCCTGCCTTATGCAGACATTTAAAATTCTTTGAGGCTTCTGGTGAAGTCTGTGGAGTTTTTATATTTAATATTATTTTATAGCATGGGAAGTTCATAGTTCATGAATACCACAGCTCCACAAAATATAATGAAGGCTTTTTCCCTGAATACACAAAATCTCTTTGTAGTCTGGCTATGTGGTTGTGTTATATTCATGTCATGAGCTTTTATTTCTAAATAGGAGTTATATCACAGCAGCATCATTATTTTTTTAAATAAAAGAAGTAACACCAAAAAAGTCCTTCTCAATCTGAAAAGAAATTCTATGTTGGCAGCTCTACCACATTCTAGTTTTTCTCCACGTGTTTTAGAAGAGTAAAGAGCATCTCACATTACTGTTATTCACCAAGAGCTGTCCTTTCATCCTGTTCTTGTCCTCTGTTCTCTCCTATACAGAACAGTGCTATTAGCTGTTTTGTGAATTTATTTCATAGAGCAATAAGTGATTTTTTTGTAGTGACTACATTGATCTGGTTAACTTTTTCTATGTTATTACAATTTCAGTGTTCTTCATCTATGTCCTTTACCTTCAGGTACCCTTTTTCTTAATTGCTTGACTTATCTTAGATATCTCACTTTGTCTTACAGTTTTCTACTTAAAACACAGATTAACAGTTTAATCATTTTAGTGCATTTTGAGGTAGTTTTCTGTGAACTAAATTGTTGTAAAATGTGGTGCTGAATCTCTCCCTGGAAGTGAGAGGCATCTTTTCTTACTATATTCAGCTGCCATAGTTCTCCTGGATGCTTGACTTGACTTCCTAGACCCAGAGAGAAACTTCCCAGTGCCTGGTGTATGGATCTTGTGTCCTGCCTTTGCCTTTTGTCTTGCTCCTTGACTAATGTGGTTCTTGGGGACCTACACCTGCCCTTCAGGTGACAGTGCCTTTACACCCTGATGCTGGACCAGTGCTAAGTTATTAGGACATCTGCAGAGTGGGGAAAAACATGAAATTAGCACCATCTAGTCTACCTTGCCCTCTCAGCCTGACTTGTACATCATTCTTAGATCTTCTGGTCTACTCTGTTGATTTAATTACATGCAAAAAAGCTTGCTTTGCTTTGTTTTTGGAGCCTCTGCTGGAGAAATGAACTTCCTCATATATTCTCAAACAAAGCCCTCTCCTCTGTCTGGAGCATGAGCAGCTTGGAAGAGATGCATTTGGAGAGATGAGGAAGCAAGGATCACCTTCCTAGCCAATAAGATAACTGGTCAACAGGATGGTGTGAGTCAAAGCCAGATCTCCTTCACATCCAGGTGTTTTTATGTGCATACCATACTGAGAATACTGTGTATAGCTCATGCGTTAGCACATCATTTGGCCCATGAGTACAAAATAAATGTGTACCTCTGTAATGTCCATAGGAGGTTTCATCTCTCCTAGGTGGGGGAGCTAAGACATGAAGCTCCAGCTAACTGTTTAAGACAACCAATTTATGTGAGTGGAAACGCAGTAAGTTCAGGGCCGAGGGAGAGCACTGTGGTCCCTAGTGTATGGGCAAAAGCTTCCAAAGAGATGAAACTTGAAGCAAACCCTACAAGAATGTTTATAATTAACTTCGCCTCCACTATTTCCTGCTTCTTACCATTAGTGGATCTTGGCAGCTGGTTTTGCCATCTTAGAATAGAGAATACTTATGGAGAGCCTAATAATATAAACCCTGATGCATTTCTGCTTGAAAGTTCACTTCTCTGAATTCCAAAGATCCTAATAATAGAAAACTGTTAACTTCTCTTTGAGCAAGTGTAGCTGTCCTGTTCTCCTGACAGTTTTTCTTCTTCCCCATTTAGATTATAAATACATGGGAGCCTGGGACCATGTGTTTCTTATCCTTACTTTGTAATTCCCTATGGATAAGACTGGCCCGCTTCGTACATTGTAATCTAATCGCTTGCTAAGAGGTCTCTGTATTTGCTGAAGGTGATGGATTAGCCTTTTGAGCGCCCCAGCCCCAGCAGTGCTGGTTGTCTTGGGCATTCCCAGCACCTGCCTTCTTCTGATCTCTATTTCTCTTCCAACCAACTATGCTGCTGCTTTTTTTCGCTATCACCCCATTTCCGTAGCATATTAAATATACTTTTAAGGAGATGTCAAGACTTCCCTTAAGAATATGGGCTTTTATTTGTGACAGCACATAGGCATTAACAGGAGATAGGCATGTTGGCAGATGAAATCTGACCAAGTACAGAGAAAGCCTTAATTGAGAGCACCCAAGTTAATTTTAAAACCCATCAAGTTAACCTAGCTTTACTTTTTTAGTTTAGTAAATGTGTTTAGCTACTGTTTTAACTCAGTTAATATAATCTTTCCTCAAATTCAGTTGAATTCACTTTTTTCCAATTCACTAAAAATATTTTTATTCAGCTATTGTTTTTAGACAACTAATGAACCTTTTCTCTGTGGTTCTCTTTTTGCAAATGGACTGGTTTCAATATGTGGGCTTTATTTTATGTAATTGCTCTCTTTTATTCTTCTTTGCGATCCACCTTTCATTCTGTTTGGCAGACACTGGTTGCTTTGTAGTTTTGAAAAAAAAAATACATATAAGTATACCTGGAAAGAATAGATACCAGCAAAATAATTCTTAAGTGAAATTTTGTATATTGTAAACTGTTTTTCATAGACTATCATCTTGAAACCTACTTCAAAGCAAATATGGAAGTCTTCTCATCATTAATGCTGCACAGATTCATTTATTTAACATCAAACAAATATTGATTAACGTCCTACTCTGTGCCAGATAAAGTTCCAGGTGGTGAGGATCTAGCATTGAACCAGACAGACAAGAACCTTGCTCGTTGCCAGCACACGTTCTAGGCAGGGCCACAGTAGAGATGCAGACAACAGTCACATACACAGCCTGTCCAGATAGCAACTGACTTCCCGATTCTTTTTCCCTTTACCATTGCTTCAAAGTCACATCTACAACCTTGTTACCTGTAGTGTTGTGTTGAATCTAGTCTCACAGTACTACTACCTCCATCTATTAAGAGCTGTTTAAGGGCCTTGTTCTAGTACAGGAGAGAAAGAATGGAGAGGCTTCTGACAGGGTCAAGTTTCTTGTTAAGCTGAAACTAAACATGCTGTACTTTCAGAATTGTAAAGGTGAGAATTCATTCACTCATTCAGCAAACATTTATTTTTTTAAAAGATTTTATTTATTTATTTGACAGAGAGAGACACAGCGAGAGAGGGGACACAAGCAGGGGGAGAGGGAGAGGGAGAAACAGGCTTCCCGCCGAGCAGGGAGCCCGATACGGGGCTCGATTCCAGGGCCCTGAGATCATGACCTGAGCCGAAGGCAGACGCTTAATGACTGAGCCATCCAGGCGCCCTCAGCAAACATTTACTGAACAGTATATCAATCAGGGTTTTATTATGTTCCAAGCTTTATAGCACCTACATGCCCTTAAGTACATCATACTCTAGATGGAGGGAGAGAGACATAAAATAAATAATTGCTGATAAATGTTACAATTAAAACATATACCAAGTAGAAGGAGAGCACCACAGAATCAGGAACTAACTCTGCCTGGGGTAGGGATAGGGGAGTCTGATACTGGTGAATCAGGTATTGAAGGAAGCATCTTCAATGGGGAACAGCAGGTGGGGCCCATTCTGAGACCTGTCTCCAGAGGGGGAGAAGGATGAAACATAGAGGTCTCTGTTGTTTGTGGAGACTAGACCAGAAAGCTGAGGTGGGATGCAGAGCAAACAACTGGAAGGGTTGGGAGTGGGGGAGGGAACGGGACATGAATTAATCAAGAAAGCCCCAATGAGAGAGTACAATCTGGCAAAGCAAGGGGGTTGGGGGTTGAAGCTAATAGTAAACTGATGGACACTAGAAGAAATTTAGGCAGGGATGCTTAGGTTTCTTAAGGCACAGGAACTGAAGATGTGCAAAGGGAGGTTATTGGCAGTACTGTGACCACAATGATAGCAGTGAGGGGACAGTTAATGAACTGAGGGGTAGTCCCAGCAATACCTGGCATAATAGATGTTCAATAAATATTTGTGAAGCCAGAAGGGGCTGTTCCTCTACAGATAATGTGGAGGAAAGGGATGAGATACCAGAGTTCTGAAGAGCTCTTAGTAAATGCCTAGATTCCCCTCTGGGAGAGGATCCCAGAACCCTTAGAAGTACAAAGCCCACTCCTTTAATCCTGGAGACCCAAGGGATTACCGGGAAGTCTACCAGATTTCCCCACCACTGCACGCTCCTGGCCTGTTTCTCTCACCTGCACCTCCATCTCTGCCCACTGGGGGGCGGGGCTCGAGGGCAAGGCTGGTGGCTGCTCTGAAGCCTCGAGAGCCATCAGTTCCTACCAGACTCCCTGCTCGGGTGTGGTCTTACCCCATGGCCGGACACAGGCCCTCAAACTTCTCCCCACTGCCAGGCAGTGGTAGGAGCGGGCCCACAGGGCCAATGCCTGTGCGGGTTGACGCTCCGCTCTGGTTGAGTGCCCAGGCAGCTCCCCGCATGCTGATGGTCCGGCCAGGGATCGGGCCGGGGGCCAGCCCAGGCCCTGAGGGGTGGAAGGTGCCCCTGGGTCCACCACCGTACAAATTCTACAGCGGGATGGCACCCCGCAGGCCCAGAGTCGGAGCTGGTGAGGCTGGGCCCCGTTTCCGGAGCCCCTCGGAGGGCGCCTTCCAGAGGCCCTACATCATCCTGCGGTGCACCCCGAGTTTGGCGCTGCCAGAGGATGTCTCGGCCATAGAGAAAGAGTTGGAGCAGCTGGCCAAGGAGCTGAGGCAAAAGAGGATGGCCCTGGGGTACTCGCAGGCCGACGTGGGGTTCGCCTTGGGGGCTCTTTTTGGAAAGGTGCTTAGTCAGACAACCATCTGCCGCTTCGAGTCCCAGCAGCTCAGCCTTACCAACATGTGGAAGTTGCGACCACTGCTGAAAACGTGGCTGGAGGAAGTGGACACCAAGAACTTTCTGGGCTTATGCAAAATGGAGATGATCCTGCGGCAGGCTCGGAAGCAGAGACGGGCAAGCAGGGAGAGTCGCATCCAAAACAATCTGGAGCAACTCTTCTTGCAGTGCCCGAAGCCCACACCCCAGCAGATCAGCTGCATCGCTGGGCAGCTCCGACTGCAGAAGGAACTGGTCCGAGTTTGGTTCTATAACCGGAGCAAGATGGGTGGTCAGCCAGCCATTGATTTCTGCCCACCGGAGGAACTGGGGGCAGCCGGGCCTCCTTTCCCAGGGGGAGCCGTGTGCTTTCCCCCTGCATCGGGGCTCCATTTTGAGTCCGCCCACTACAAAGAGCCCTACTTTATACCCATGTACTCCCCTACCCCTTTCCCTGTGGCAGGGACCCCCCTCTCTGCCCCAGCCACCGCTCAGGGCCACCCCAGGCTTTCAAACTGAGGGGCCGTGCCCTTCTGGGGAGGGTTGAATGGGGAAATGGGTTCCTAAGGTTCATTTCAGGGTTGTTAACATTAAGGGCTCCATTCACTGTCTAAAGAAGTTAAGAATACCTAAGGGATGAGTTGGGAGTTGTTTAGGAAATTTGGGGGAGGGAAGTTGAAGTTTATTAACTCTATTGTTTTTACCTAGCATTGGTTTTAAGGTACATTACAATACATACATGGTTTCGGATATTTTGTTTCTCTCTTTTTTTTTAATTAATCAGAAATTAATTGTGTCTGTTATTCCTTGTGGTTATCAGTAAACATAGGGATTTTTTTCTTATAAACACGGTATTGAGTGAAAAACTCAAGTCACAGAAGATTATTTCAGTATACCATTTTTTATCAAAAACGAGCAGAACTTTATGTAAATATAAACACGGGTTCCAAGATAATAGTAACCTCTGGGGAAAGGTTTGAGGTTGGGATAGGGCAGGAGTACATAAAACCTACACAGGAGTTTTCTTGTTCTTCTCCCTTTCTTGAAAGATGCATTTCTTTTCTAATTCACCTTCTCATTTAGAGTGCTCAGCTTCCAGTGGAGGTCTCAGTCCAGCTCTCCACCCTATGGAATCCCACTAGTTATCTCCTAACTGCCACAGTCATTGTATTTGGAACCCCTTTGTTACTGAGGTTGGCATGCTGGACAGCACTAGCTCAGCCCCAGCTCCAGCTTACTTCTCTGGTTTTCAGCTCTGTTTGGTTTACTACCTGGGGATGTTACTTTCTTTTGAACCTAGATATGCTACTTAGAGAATATCTGCAATGGTTGAGTCAACATTCCCTGGTGGCTTGTGTGATGGTTCATCCTATATCACTTTTCCAATCACTTCTATGAAATTGGTCTTTTCTAGTTTTCTACTTCTACACTGGTAAATTTTGGTCATCATATACTAAACAGAAATCATTTTTCTGTGTTTGTACCTCTGCTGCCATAAACCTGCATGTAATATTTATTGCTTTATAATTCCATCACTAAATATTATATCTGAGTTTATGTCTTCTATTTAATTACTATTCCTGTCAATTTTTTCTTTCTCTACTTTTTTTCCCTTAATCAGTTTTTACAAAGAATTTATCTATAGATATTTACAAAGAACAAGTCTTTTTAAAAATTTTATCTTATTTAACTGCTCTTTTTATTTTCTAATTGGTTAACTTCTAGCTTTTATTTTTATTAATTGCTTTTTTCTAGTTTTCTCTGGTTTCTTCCAATGTGTATTTTTCCTTCTTGTCAGTGTTCAAAGATAAAACACTGACAGTACACATAGGTTCATGAAAATGGAGATAAACTTCACTTACTTATAGATTCAATAGGTGACTAATCACTCATTCATGGACTATCCCACTAAAAGTCACATAGCACCAGTCCCATTTCTTCCTTTTCCCATACAGCCCTTCTGGACAGCCTTGAAAGGGAGATGTTTCTGCAGAGGGCCAGGTGGTATTTAACAACAGGATGAACCGTTGTGTCAACATTTGGCTCCTAAAAGCTATGAGGAGGCTCTGACCCGAATTCTGCAGCCCCTGCATATTTGGAGAGATGGTAATGGGCTCTCCATCTCAGGGAATGGCTCCGAGGGTCCACCTCAGCACCTGCACAGCTGCAGCATTCACACAGCTGCCGCGCCTCGGCTTAGGCAAACACCACTGTGTGTCAATGATCAGCCCTCACATAATTTAAAATGAGATTTTTCCATCACTGCTCCTCTTGACTTGACTATGAAGAGAGAAAAGGCTGGACCATGGGGCAACTTTGACATTTAAAGAATTTCATATTTTTCAAAGATTTAAGATTCTGAGTAGAAACCTCAATAATAAAATCCTTCAAAACTGAGAAGGAGCTGTCCTTTGAGTTGGGAGAAAACCAACAGTATGGTGTCAGTGCTGAACAGGGTCAAATATACAGAAATCAAGTAACAAAATCAAGTGAGATCTACCACATCAGTAACAAAGGTATCCGTGGTATCATTAGTGAGAACCAGTCTCCGTGGAGTAGTTGGTAGAGGCAGATGTCAAACAACAGTCCAGACGCTTCCTACTTGCCAGATTTCCCCCTAACTTCAATTAAAAACACAGATTCCAACCACTCAAGATCTTCACCATCATTCTGAAATATTCGTTAACAAATGTTTCCTTTAATCTCGTGTTTTCTTAAGACAAGGCAAGTATTCTTAACCTGATGATGCCGAACCCCTTTAGAGCACAGGCAGAATAGTGTGTTTGTACATATGTGCATCTTTAAAGATGGTGATGATAGCTTTTATCACTTTCTCAAAGGAGACACGACTCTTTGTAGATCTACAGTTTCAGAATTTTAGAAACACATTCCCTTTGGCCACCTCACTTTCAAGAGTTTTCCCTTGACCCACTACTGGCCTAACAAGTAATTTGTGGTTTTCTTTGAATCTGTATTTTCTGGGTATCTCTAGCTCAGCATAGAATAGAGGACCTGAATCACTTCTTATATAAGTCTTTCAAATTCAGAATAAATGTTGTATTAATTATTGCCTTTATTGTTCTTATACTTTTATCAATCCTTGACACTTTAGTTAATTCCTATCATAAAGAACAATTTCTCTGTTCCCAGAATCTTTCCTATCTATTGTCTAAGAAGACATGAAGTGTTAGGATATGCTCCCTTATTCCAAAACATTATCTTGCTCTTGAAATAGCATCTAAATATTTTCTATAATTTCACATTTTTGATTTATACATACATACATCTTTGTTTATTATACTAAAACTGTGTCATGGGATTTATTTTTCAGTATAGCCACTTTTGTTTATAGCTTTCTTCCAGAAATCGTCTTGCTTACTAAACAGTATTAGTTTGCTTGGCAGAACCTGTTCACGATGAATTTTTTTAGAGTACAAAATTGTATTATCAGTGTAAAACAGTGTTTTGAAAGTGAAAACTGCAGTGCCATTCCAATAAAATCCTAGTGGAATATGAGAGCTATTACTTGACAAAGTGATTGTAAACTGAAAGAATAAAACTTAGGAAAATAAGAAAATTTTGAAGAAAAGAGTTAGGGTGGCCTTGTCCTACCAACTGTTACGAAACTACAATAATTTCAACAGTATGGTGGCGCTTATGGACAAAAATAACAGAAACGAGTATTTGGCTATTCCATTTTGTGGGAATGTGAATTGGTGCAATCTTCATGAAAGGCTATTGGGTAATTCATATGGGAAGTTTTTAAAATGTGATTTTTCTTTGGCCAATCATTTCAACTTTATTGGATTTTTTTAAGAAAATAATTGTGTGTGCAAAATTTAGCAGTAAGGGTGGTCATTACAGCATTTTTTTAAACAACAAAAAGTTGTTAAAACTAAATGTTCAACAAAGGGAAAGTAAATAAAAAGGAACACCATATATGGTAAAAAATTGTGTTATGGAGCTACAGTTTTGACAAAGGTCAGAATAGATTATTGAGTGAGGCAAAAGAGTTTCTTAAGCTTTATGATACTTCTTATTTTTTTAAGGAAAAAGGTATGTTACATATACAAATCTATATATAAATATGTATCATTGGTGATTTTTATAAAATTGTTTTGCTATATATATTACACAGTAAACATATTTAAGCAAAACTTCTAAAGGAAGGTGCTAGGAAATCTAGGGCTCCTAAAAATATTCATTCTTCTAGTCTTTTTATCTCTAAAATTGTAATTTTTCATTGTAAAGCAATATTTTGGAATAATAAAATTGACCTTTTCATTTTTAGTCAGATTTGTAGTTTCTTTAAAAAGAAAGGCAGTTCTCTAAACAGAGGAGTATTGGGATATATCAGTTAGGGAGACACTGCTAAAAATTAGGTTTGTTTTTTTTTAAATCAGATGCCCATTAATGTTAAAGAGCTGTAGTGTAGCTCAGTGAGTGAGGACACCTGCCATATGTCTGTTTTCCTGCACAACATGGTAACTTACAATTACAGTTAGTGTGTTTATATACCTCAGTGGTGTTAACCCATATTTAGAATATAATATAAACCCAAATCATTTTCATGTTTCTGAATGTTACTTTTCAATTTTAAAAGCCATTTGAAAATACCGAAATCCTGGTTTTATCACAGTAGAATCCTCCCTACTTACCATATTTGAAGAAACCGAACAGATATAAATGAGATCTATAGATTTCTAGGTTTGAAGGCAGGGGCAGTTCTTGTGATTACAGCCCCAGCCAGTTGAAAGATGAACTGTCATGAAATGAATCTACCCCATTATCCAGTAAAATCCTTAAAACAAAGCATTAGCATTGTCATGGTTGCACCAGTGAAGAGAAGCATTACAAGAAGCTGTTGAAGAGACCGTGTGGTTTACCTACAGGGCTGTCTTCAGAAAACAGTGCAGCGCTTCGGTCTGTTGGGCTGCTGCCCTGCCACCTCACTTTGAGCTGGGAGCCCTGCTGTGAATTCTGCTAAAGGCAAAATTAGCTACTTTGGCATTGAACTTCGGCTTCTTAGGCTTTCATCCCCCAGTTTCCAGCAAAATGATGAAGTACAAACCAACTTCACTTAATACTGTTGACTCTTCTACTGCCTGCCTGCCAAAGACCGGGGTTGGAAAAGGAAAAATGGAGGCCTTCCTGAGAATTCACTACATTTTGGATTCAATATTCACTTCTAACAATGCTCAACCCGTTAAATCACATCTTCTCCAAAAGAGTAACTGCACTGTTTAATAATTCGTCGTCTTCTTCCTCCCAGGATGTGTGGTGTAGACCTTCTTTTAGATCTTGGTGCAATGGCCAGGGCAGTATATAAGATGCTTTAAGTTGATTTCTTATCTTAGAATGGATGATAATGTTCCTGGAACAGCTGTAAAACTTTGAATACTATTGACTGCATAGTGGGCAAATCTTAATATATACCTTTTTATTGAAGGACAGTTTGTTTCAATATACCATTTATTAGTTTGCTAGGGTTGCCATAACAAGAACTCCACCTTGGGGAG